CCCATATAATGCACCCCAAAACTTCAGTTCGACGTACAGCGCAGTGTAGTTGAACAAACGACCCCAAATTTTATGAGGAACTTGATAACGGTGCGATATAACTTCTTAAATAGCTAAAGTACGTATCGAAGACCACATAAAAAAAATACTAAGGTTTCAAAATAAAACAAAAAAAAACGTTTTTTTTTTTTTATTTTGTAGTCAGTAACACGTACATTAGCTATTTTAATAAGTTGTACACATCGCGACACTGTTAGCGCGAACACGACATCGGCGCATTTTCTCATTTTACATCTAAACAGTATTAGCCAGCATGACATTTTATCGCTTACATTATAGAGCTAAATGAGCTCTTTCCGTAGCAATAAGAACTTGGATGACATCCCTTGGTTTCAAAGAGAAAACCTGGAAAAACTGGTGATCGCTTGTTCGCGCTAACAGTGTCGCGCTCTGTACCACACGGCTATCAAGCCCCTCGTGAAACGTTGGTACCGTCAGATCGACGTCAGTGCGCTCTACGTCGAACTGAAGTTTTGGGGTGTATTATACGGGACAAAGGGTGTAAGAATACACCCTTTTTTTTTAGAGTGTATAGCAGGTTGATAAAAATAAAGCATTCTGCCTCTCATGCCACCTGCAATTCGCAGACAAACAAAACTGGGATTCAGCACCTAGCTGTGTGTGAATATCTCGTATTGTACGTTATCTGCGGGGTCAGTCAGGGCACAGCCGACTGGTGCGCGTGACCTCGCTCTCGCCCATGCCTCGCTTACTGCCCGTGGGTATGGGCGACCGCGAGAGCACCTGGCAAAAGACAAACGTATGACGTCCAACGAGCGCGGAGCTAGCTGCCACCACAATGTCAGCTTAGGGGTGGACGGAGTATAACGTAAGAGAGCGCTCGTTTCCTTCAAGGTACAAGAACCCACCCAACCACTGAGAAACGTTCCCCTGAGCTACACTCTCGTGTCTGCGTCTGCAGCTGGTCATGCAGGTTGGGAGAAGAAGTCACACCAAATTCGCAATATAAGGAAACACGGTAGCTTTTTTCTTTTTTTTTTCTCATGAAAAAGACGTTAATATTAAAATATTTTGTGTGGTAAGCATGTGATTCGAAACCTTGAAGCTGAGAGGATGATAAAAATGGAACGGCACAGCACAAAGTTTCAAACTTATTGCGTTATAAAGGGTTATTCTTTTTTTTTTTTTTTTTTTTCACCGCCATCAGTGTTAGGACATTAAACTATCCAGGTAGAAAATGTTGTTTACGCTTGCCGAGGAAACGGGGCAGACAGAAAGGAAGGTTTCACGAACATTTATGTTTGCCAAGCCCGTAGCAACGGAATTTATTGCGGCAGTTCAATTATTATTTCATAAATCAAATCATGAAGACCCTTATTTCTTAAAAAAAAAATATAGGTTTCTAATAAACAAGGATTACGAAATGAAATACGTCACAAATTCTATGTATAAGTCTGGGATCAGTGAACGTGGGGAGAAAACAAATACACCTGCAAACATTAAAAAAAAAAAAAAAAAAAAAAACACGAAGAGTTCTGAATTCTTAAATCCTAAGATGCCTTCAAATTATTATAGCCTTCTTTGCAGGCAGAAAGGAGTACTGGAAAACAATAGGGAAGACTGCGGTCAATATCCCCATATTTATATTTTATACAAGAATAAACTGCCCACGTCGACTGTTTCATACCTAAAACTTGATATGAATAAAATCACCCTCCCGCATCTTTAGTGCGAACTTCATAGTCTATTCATACTAAATTGCGATAATTACCCGTTTTCGTTCATGCCAACCATGACCGGTAATGTGTTTTTATTCAATATTTTTATAAGTATTAATTGTATCGTTGTTTTGTGCCTTTCCCCTCTGTAATGCCTCCGGGCCCTGAACGTACTGAAATAAGTATATAAATACATAAACGTAGGTACCAATCTGATTAACCGGACAACATTGAAACGAGGGCAGTTCACGTTCGAAATCTGACAACCCTGGTCATAACAAGAGATTGGGCTATGTTGTGCGTTTGCAATAGTGTAGTTTACAGGCGTAAAAGGACGGCGCAATGCAACCAAACCGTCGGTTTTTGGTCGACACGACAGGTTCGCCTCAAAAACAGCTGCTTGCAAGCCGGTGGGAAAAAATAGGACAGCAGTACAGCTGCTTCGGCGACGAACATGTGCCCGAAGTGTACATGCAGTCTTATATTGACTCAAGCCAGGTATTTTAGGTACAGGAAAAGAAAGTTTATAAACGATCGGCTTTGTTTTGTGAGTGACAAAATTGAAAGAAACTTTGTCGCTTAGAACTTGTTATACCGCTCGTTTATTTGTCGTATGCGTTGATTTCTTCATTCAATGCGGAGTTCAGGAGAAAAAAAGAAACTACAGTTGAGTGCAGTACTAATCTCTGTAACTCTACAATTGACTTTTTAAATTATAGTAACAAAATGGATAATAATATTCATTTTCGAGTTTCTAGCCATGACGTTAATCTATCTAAGAAATAATTGTGATAAATATATTAATCTTTTAGGGAACCCAGTTTAGCATCGTAACAATACAGAGGTTAAATACGTATTCTAAAAAAATATTCGTTCCGGTTCGATCATAAAAAATAAAAAAAATAATGCGTCTTGATTATTTCTTGTACGGATCATTTAAGGCGCGACCATTAACAGACAAAGATGCAAATCAGGTGTCTGAAAGAAGTCTTTGAGCAACTTCTTAATAGAAAGAGAACGTAAACAAGCTGGCACAACTGAATCATAATGAACAGATCATCTAGACCGAAAACACATGTATGTGAAAGAGTACAGCATACCATAATGGTTCAAGAACCTTACGGAGCATGCGTTTGTTCTCTTGTGTGATCCTCAGCTTCGGGGCTCCATTCATTACCAGAGCATGTGTACTGTACCACTAACGCCCAGTGTTGAAAGAAAATCTTTCTGCAGAGTCTCAAGATGGCCACCGACAATTTAGGTAACCTGCCACTATTCGAAAGCCCCCAGGTTATTATGCTCTTTCGAGTTTCTACAAACAGTGTCTGCGGCCTTCGTGCCTCGTTAAAATAACCTTCCAAGTGACTCTGAGGTGCGTTAGTGCTTTCTATATATCCCGGATATAGTACCTATAAAGCTGCATAGCTAAGACTAAAGACAAAAAATCCAGAGCTTTTCTTTGTCTTCGGGGTGGCCAAGCACACATATCCTGCCTGTGATGCACAGCACGCGAGTGCTTGTACAAAGCCGGAGCTCATTTTGTTACTAGAAACGAAATAATGCATCGTTTTTAGACTTTCGGTGGTTCCAGTTCACTGTCCAGAAAATTGGGCAATAATAATAATAATAATAATAATAATAATAAAAATAATACTTCTATTTTTGACTTCCTGCGTCACGGGTTTGGGGGGGGGGGGGGAGCAAATTGTAAACAAATAGTTACCTGCCGAGGCCCCACCATCCTTGTACTTTGCTTAGAAAACATAGACACAGCCACACACGCACGCACGCACAAACATAATAGAAAGGAAAACACGTAAAAAATCTCAACAATAAACGTAGTACATACCACGTAGCAAAAAAAAAAAAAAAAGAAATGCAGAGTTTACAAATTTACACATTCAGAAAGCTAGAAGACTATGAATCAACGTTTATGTGTGTGTTTTTGTTTTGTTTCTTTTTTGTTCTTTTTACATTTTAAATTTTACAATTGTTCTATTTTTATTATAAAGTAAGATGTACTAGAAAGAAAAAAAACAAGGGTACGTGTGGTTTACAGATGATTATGTACTACTGACTATAACATTACATATATAGGAATATATCTGCGGTGACGGCTCATTAAAACATTATGTTGTTTTCGTAAATTAATAATTGGTGTTAAAACAGAAAGTGACCCGCAATATCGTTAGGATTTGTTTACCTTTTTGTATTTTAATTGGTGTTTGTATACTTTAGGTCTTCATGTCAAGCAGGGCTTTGAAAACCCCTCTAATATTTAACGATTTGCGCTGACAAAATAACTCTCAAAATTACATAATACAGCTGACAGTGAGTGTCATGTAATGATCATGTTTATTTAAGAGATACAGATAGTATAGCGAAACTTCACGTACAAGTTTCTACCCACTTATGTATGAAATGATCAAAGATAGTTCATGTTTTCACAAAACAAAAAAAAACAAAAAATTGTTGTGAAAGAAATTTGGAGACCACGGATATTTATCAAAGTAATGAGTTTTATGTTCTTCCGTACATTTCCGACAGAAATTACTTTCCTCGTAAAATAAAACGCCCCCCCCCCCCCTCCCCCGTTAAAATTGAATAAAAAGTAAATGAACCTATTCGTTCCAGTAATTATACGTCGCGTCATACAACGTTCAAGTAAACAATCCGTGAGGCTTTATAACATAAACGGTTTGTCGTATGCTCGTGGCAAATATGATCGAAACGTAGTTCCATTTTATCACAGAAGTGATAATGTGGGACACGCCATTTTTTAGTTGGCAAACATTGCCTGATTTATGATACGCTTCCACGGCTATTTTGTCACCCCACCTTTTGTGAATCTATAGAGTGAAACTAAGAAGACAAGGCATCGGCAAAATTGCATTAATGGACCTTTGCAACACGACAAACGCCATAACTGAGCTGTCAATTTTGAGGCCAACCAGTCGGCAAGCGAAAGTTTTAATTTTAAACAAATATATGCGCAACGTACTTACGAAGTTGATCTGGGTCCGAAAAAGAACCCCTCGAATAGGGAATGAAACGCCCCAGAAATACAACAACTTGGCAAGCAACGAGTGAAGAATCGGGAGGCGAGAGCGAGTGAGGTGCTGCTTTTGCAGCTAAGCCTAAGATCCCCAACGGTCCCTTTTACCTTCAGCCGTGCTTCAGTCTTCGAGACAAGGAAGGTGACAAAACGAGAGTATGCAATGCCACCCGGAGTGAGTGCCACGCGCGAGCCGAGAAACTCACCTTCGCAAATGTACCCTTGACCTATGAGACCCCAGAGCATGTCGGTGCAGTGATGGCAGTAGGTGGGCTTGTGGAAAGTCCTCTTGGTGAAGTAGTGGCCGTGGCCTATCTCGTACTCCGGTTGCTGCTGCTGCTGCTGCTGCTGTGAGCCGAGCTCGCCCTTGACGGACGTGGGGCTCCCGGCGCCTTCGTCTTCCGGCTCCGAGTGTTGCTGCTGATGCTCGCTGCTGGGCCCGACGCCCATGTTAGGCTTGGCTGCCGACGAAGCCATGTTTCTTCTGCACCACCGAATGAAGCCCGCCACCGCTTGCCCTCAGCGAGTCGGTGGCGAAAGCGCGGCCGCTTCCAAGCGGCGTCTTGGGGCCAACCGGAGGGCGGAAGACGTTGCACTCGCGTCCGAAGGCCGACCCCGCGGCACAGACTCCGACGACGCCCCCGCCGTCGCCGTCTCAGGGCCGGGACGACTCCCGCATGGCGATGCGCCCCGCCGCCTCAGTCTCGCCGCCGCTGCGCCGGACACGGTCGACCTCCGGGCTGAACGCGTGCTGAGACTAGGCCGGGCGCACTCTGCGTCCTGCCGAGCACGGCCCCGGGTCACAACACCGGCGACGACGGCAACAACAGCGGGGGCGAAAAGTCACTCCGTCAGTCAGGCCTAAAGCTCGCGCCCCGCCGGGAGGTCCTCCCGAGAGTTGGGCCGCGCTGCAGAACCACGACGCCCGGTCGCACTACGGTCCGAGTTTGGGGAAGCTGTCGTGCGTAATCCCGGGGGGCTGGGGTGACGATCGACTCGAGCGGCCGCCGGCTCGGGAAACGGGCGGACCGTCGGACGAGGGTTAGCGCCTTCAGCGGCTCACGCGAGCCGGTGGCGGAGGCACTCTGCTCCGGTGGTCGCTCCGAAGCTCCACGTCCAAATGCCGGCCGGCTGAATCCTCAGCGTCTTCGTAGGTCATCCGAAAGCCTCCTTCGGGCAGGCGCCCTCCGCACCGGTGGAACTGACGGGCCATCGGCGTAGCACCAACACACGGGCCCGGCTACAAATGAAAATAAATAAAAAAGACAGAGATCGAGAGGGTCGCTACAGAGCCAGCACTCGCGCACCGCACATCAAGTCGGTCGACCGCACCAGTGTGCAATCGGAGTCTGTTTCCTCGCCGGCGCTGGCTGTAGTTGACCGAAACGAAGTTACGTCTCCGATCGGACGAGGAGGGGGACGACGCCGAGGCTTAGGGAGCCGTACGGGAGGCAGGGGCGGCCAGCGCGCCGCCGGCAGGGCGATGGAGCGGCGGGATCGAACGGGGCGACGGCGACCAAGGCGGCGGCGGCGGCGTTCGGTGCGTGCTGCGGCGCTCTCATCAGGTGCCCCGGCGCTCTTCGTCCGCGCGGCCCGGGCCCGTCCGGATCGTCCACGGGTCGAGGTTCGGGCCGGGCGTCGTCTCGACGCGACGTCGGACTCTCGCCGTCGAGGGATCGGTCGCCAAAAAACGCACGGCGACAGGCAAAGCAGGCGGGCACCCGTGGGCGGGCGAGCTGTCGTCCTTTCCGCAGATCCGCGGAGCAGCGCGAAAAAACGTCGGGAGGAGCACGTAGATGGCGCTGGGGCCGCCGGAGTGAGAGCGCGGAGAACCCCGCTCACGGGTCGAGGAGGGAAGAAGCAGCGCTGGAGAGGAGGGTTTCCGCCTCCTCTCCAACCCGGAGTTCCGACCCACTTGCCGAACGGTAGTGGTTGAGGTTAGTTGGCCAGTATCACGTCGCTGGTTCGTTCATGGCGGTGCTCTCGCACGCTGCGCCGCTACCCTTCGATGTCGCCCGAATTAGCGTTGAGAACAAAAACGTAATACAGGCGTCATTGACTAAAAGGACAAAATTCTCATCGGCCTATATAACACTAAGAAGTAAGGTGTAGAAAGAAATGAGGATATAAAATAACCTACCTTTCGGTGCGCGTGCGACAGTTTGCAAAAAAAAAAAAGAAAAAAAATACCTGCACGTTGTTTATGCTGGGCTCCATGGAGCGAATATTCGACGAACAAACGACGAACAAGCGACGAACTTCGCCCGGCAACACGTTCGCTTTGCACGCGGAGCGATATTTACTGTTATGATGCCACGCGCAGAGCGAATGCTTGCCAGGCAAAATTTGCCGCGTTTTTCGCTTCATGTAGCCCACACAGCCTTTACAACCCAGAAAGTGACGAAAACCAAAATTTCCCAGTAGCGAAATATGTCTCCGAGTGTTTCACGGTACCGGCGTGTTGTTTATTACTCGCGCACTTGCCGTGAAGAAAAAACAGCCCCACCGACGCTACACGAGTACGGATCGACAGCGGTTGAAGCAGACAAAACTCAGCGAGATCCCACATGGTTCCCTTCAGAATCGGGCCGCACATTTTACGATAGACTAGCGCCACCTATCGAAGCGACTGCGGACTTCTGCACAGGGAGGTTTCACTCTCTCTATGCCGCCCATAAAACGAACGATGTATTACTTGTCGGTCTCGTTGGTGTGCGATGCATTTGAAGAAAGCTAAGGTCCCGAACCACAATTATTTGCCAACACCACGGTGCTCATCGAATATAAGTTTATTGCTTCAATAATGCTCGAATTCTAATCGGCGACCAAATAATAAATACTCGTCGCAACAATGTAGCATTTCCCTTAAACAACGAGAACCGACAGTGCGAAGGACGGTGGCGTTTGAAGGGCATATCACCCGAACGCCAACGCCACCAGCCTGTTCCCACCGGCAAGCGTGCTTTGCCACTTAAACGCAGTGTTCTGCGGAAAAGCCTCCCTTTCGAGGGACAATTTGGGACAACTTGGCACCGCTCCTCTCACAAAGGAGAATCCTTTATGCGAGGAGCCTTGCCTTAAACCTTTCTTCGAGTATGTTTTTAACTTGAATAGAAATAAATGTGCAACCTAGATGTACACCTGGTTTCAATGAGTTTTGCGCCAGCCTGAGCGCGGGAATCGGTGCTCGCTGTGTCGAGTTAGCGTCAGTCGCGTATGGAGCTCATCAATGAGAATTTTGCGTTTGGGTGTGTGCGTTTTCCTAGCCTTGAGTTATATTAAATATAGTATACCGCGTTCATTTTAGCTGCCTAAAAAGCCGTGGGAACCGCTACAATGCCGTGGTTGCATGGTCTCTTTTTCTTTTTTTTTTTTTTCACAACAGAGTTAGTTTTGTTTAGCGGTTCTTCGTGTTCGTTTCATGTGTTTATTGAGTACTGAAGATCGCTACGATCCGGCAGTGTAACGTTGTGCGTTTGCGTTTAATTTCCTGTGGCCTAGAATATTTTAACACGCAGCCAATTATTATTTTGAGTTTTCACCCGGACAGCGGTTCTAAATAAGCCGAATGTTACGTAGGCAGAAAAATAAATAACGACGCAGCGTCAGCGTCGTATAATGATAATGTTGTGGGCGTCCAAGGCTCGTGAATCCCGAAACAATATCCGCTATCGTTCGCTCGTATGTTTTGCGTTTAAACGCGTGGCCGGCGCGTAAAATAAAAAAATTAAAATAAATAAAATCTTTATTTTTTGCAGTTTTCATACGTCGAGTGGGTGCACCATCATCGTGTAGCGCTGTGTTTTCTACGGTTGGATAATTTCCCCAAAACTGCATTTGAAGGGTTGCGGCTCAGCAAGACGACAAGGCCGATTTCCAGGTATTCTGTACCACGCATACCTACCGACACATATCGAGAACAAACACACCCACGTTAAACGACAAAAGTTTAGACAGCGAGAGGACAGTCCGTCATAATATGGCGACAGAGTTTCACGCTGTAGAAGGGAAATTTAGGCTGTGCTGTACGACTGTTAATTTACTGTACTTAACGTGAATAACGCAGCAGTGATAAAAGCCGGTACGACGCTCATGTAAACCGAAGCGAGCAGGGATGGTAATTGAGCCCAAGATATTCTGGTTTTACAGCGCGAGCTTTCGCTCCACGTGCTGTGAGCCGTGGCTAACAAGCTCGGCCAAAGGTATTATATTAGTTTTCGTCATTACTACAGAATTATACACAGGAACTCCACTGAGGCATTCCTTCGGTTAGTAAATATCACGCGATAAATTTGGGACTTTTCTGGGGAGTTGTTTACAATTCAAGCCATTGAGGCACAACATCCCGATGCTCACAATTGATTGGTGTTCCCAAATACAACGAAGTACGATTAAACTGGCCGCGAGTTAAAATCCGCTTGCAGCGTCGCCATCCGCCAGCGAAGGATTCTGCGCAGGTCAATTCATTGAATCAGGCCATTCGGTATAGGTTCCTGAAGGGTGTTCGGAACGACACGAATAAGATGCCATAATGTCCCGATTATTTTTACTGCCCTATGCTACGCGTCGCAAAACAACGAGGCATCCCATCATAAATGAAATCGGGATCGAGGGCCTTTCCGAACGTAGAGTTACAATGCGATACTGCCATAGCGGTAATTCATAAAACACAAAAAAGAACAAGGGCACAACATTTTCTACCCAAAAATTACAAACGCCAGGGAAGATGCATGCCGACACGCAAATACACTGGCTGTCGAGACAGCCCTTGAATGTACTTACCTTGAGGGTATTTCAGATAAATAAATAAAAAATAAATAAATAAATAAATAAATATATAAATGCAATGTCCCCTCACGTCTTCACAGTCACCTCCGTTTCAACGCGCTAAAAGTTTCAAGCGCAAGCTTAAAAAAATTAACAGTGTTATTATGTCACCTCGTTGCACAGCATTTGTTTGCACTCGCTGCGACAGTGGCATTTGATGTATTTTTTTATGTCAACCTACATCGCCCAAGTACCATTGTTTTGGGAGAGTAATGAAAGTAATGATTGGACCCCTTGCAGCCAAACTTTTTATAAGGACACAGACGCGCAAACCTCATAAACTTTAATGCCAGGGAAATAAACAGTATGATATCCGGCCGGGTCAGAAGAGAAAAAAGAAGAAAGAAAAAGAAAACATTTAATCGCACTCAAACAATCTATCGCATTGGTCTAATCTGATGGGGTAATTCTGTTTCGTCTAAGCGACCCCTCCTAAGTAGACGTGCGTAATGAGAGTTCGTGTTTTAGAGCGCGGCTCTTAGGCGCCCGTTTCCGGCTTGAGCGGCGTCGCCGTCGGCGTAACCGCGCGTGTTTGCATTATGGGAATAATGCAACCGGACGTAACCGCGCGTTGGATTATGAAAAGATTTCCCGGCTAAATTTATCGGAAAACATTCCCCGCTAAATTTAGAGGAAAAAATTCTCACTAAATTTAGCGGGGAAAGTTTACCGGGAAATGTATCGAAAATTTCCCGCCAAATGAGAGGGGAGCAAAAGAGGAGGGGAAGGAGGGACACACCCTCCCCTCCTCCTCCTTAAGATCTGCGCTCTAATTCGGCGTTACACAGAATTTAAACTGCTTATTTAATTAGTGTTGAATAAAAGGCTTAGTTACCTTTGAAGAATCCCTGGCTTTATACGAAACGCATACCGAACTCGCTCTGTGAATTGTGGAGACAAATAAGAATTACACCGAGTAAATGTCCATTTTGGGGACATTTAGCATAGCGTTACAGTGCTCCACGAACCGCACTACCAGAACCTTTGAAGCATGTTTTTAAGCGCGCGCTCCGCGGTCAGGGCCCGGGCGCGCGCTTAAAAGCATGCTTCAAGGGCTCCGGTAGTGCGGTACGTGAAACACTGTAACGGTTTGCTAAAAATCCCTATTAATTCTGAATACAACGAAGGCAAATGAAAATTTTCTCCAGAAAGCAACAGACCGCACTTCCCGTGCAATGGAATACGCTGTACTTCCTTCGAGTCAAGGTTGGATGAAACACAGCTGTGACGTACGTCCACATACTTCCTCAACATTGTGGTCATGGGAGTGGAATATGCCGCTAGTTTTAATACGTACTACAACGATGATGCAGCCCGTACAAACAGGAGCCACAAGCAGCAGTGGATCGAGTCAAAACTTGTTACTTCCAAATAAATTGAATTTTTTTTTGTGCGTGTCTTACATGTAATTACGGGAAGGGGGGTACATTATTTATTTATTTATTTATCGCATATATCGGCCACTAAGTGGTCGGTAGACACGTCCACCTTCTTCAAATACTCACCCTTGAGCTGAATTCATTTGCACCCCATTTCCGCGCACAGCTGAAACCACGTTTTGGAAGTGCGTCGCACTAAACGGCTGATTCCAGTTCATCAATGACCGCACAATGGCGTCCGCGCAGGGGTTTCTCCGTGGACTCGAAGAGGTGATAACACCAGGGTTGCCAGATCGGGTCGCACAGGCGCGTGACCATACACCCGACAGGTCGTACGACGCGCCAGTGAGATGGCCAGACCCGACCAGGCGCCGTCCAAGTACGGCATGCCCGAGTGGCAACGGCCAAACCCGACTGCTCGATCACGGCCCCAGGTGAATGCACGCGACGCCGCCATTGGTCAGCGCCTCCAGCAGCACCAGTAAGCAAAGAGAACGTCCCTGCGACAGCAGGGAGAATACGCTTTATCACGGTCCTTGGGTGCTCTGGATTTAAGGAAGACACCAGCTCAAAACTGCATTTATTCTTCAGATACATTCTTTTTCAAACGTAAGCTTGCAGAACTCCCGAAGGATGCAGTAAGAATGTTTCTTTCCTGTAACCAAAGCAGTTTTTTGTTTTCGAAATAAATTATTTTCGACATGCCGACATCGTCGAAAATGAAACTTTTTGAACTTTCCAACCGGTTTATCCAAGCTTCACTTTTTGGCATCAAATTTAGGTTCACGAGAGCTATCAATTCACAACGGAAACATGCGTGGAGCCAGATTTCGGAGCTTATAAACTGATATTTTGTAAGGAACGTGGCTGTAAACTTATTTCAGCATTTTGATATGAAAAGTTGGCGGATCCTCCAACCTAATGCAAACAAGAAAAAACTTTTTTTTCTCCATTTTTTAAATCAAAATTGCAGTTTTCCTGGTTTCTTTCTACAGCCCTGTGATATAGGTGTTGCACTGTACGTTTAAGGAAAAAAGAAACGCAATTATCATCACCATTTTTTCTACGATAGCTTTCTTCAATGGATCCGGTGTTTATTTCTAAGTACTTTCAAAAGTTGTAATTTATATATCTTGAAACTGTGTAGGACATCCTCTTTCACTACTACGAATGCGCCCTGCAAATTTCATACAAACAAGACTAACGGTTAAAATGTTAGCCTATCAAAGTTTTGTCCTCTCTCAGGCAAATGAACATGTCTCTCATTTGCGGGAGATCTGTGGGCCACCACGGAGCTCTTCCCAAAGAAGCTCGGCTATCTCCACTGATGTTAAAATGACTGCTGCACGTGTTGACCTCGTGACGGTGGAAACCAAGCCACCAACCAATCGGTGAGAAGTGACCACTGGTGGATGCCATATCAATCATATGTTGGCTTGTCCCCCAAATAAAAAATAATAACGTAATATGCTTTCATATTTGTTTCTGTGGTTGTGACAGTGAATGTGTATACTGCAGATGCCTGTTCCGCTGTAGCTTGCTCTGCAGCCAGCCTGTCGACAGAAACTCTAACAGTGCTTGTGTCCACTCACCTACTTCACCAATACATGAACAACGAGTCACCAGGATCACAACAACGCATACTTTTACACGAAGCAAAAGTGTGCAGGCGAGTTGGTCAGGAAGCATCATAATGTAAACCCCGAGAAACGTAGGAAATAAAACAACGGGAGTGTCTACATCCACGCGCGGGGATCTAGCCAAGTCGGAAGGAGATAAGGCTCCATCCACGTACTACGTCACTTCCGGTGTGGATGTATGGCCCTCCCCGACTTGGCTACGTCCACGCAGGAATCGACTACCGGTCTGTGTGCGCTACAGCTGCAAGCACGAGCGGGCAGTCTGCAGAAATCCAGACTGCGCGAGCGTGCGCGCAAGTCAAGAACGTACGGAGTGGTGGGCTCGCACTTGTTATCTTCGATGCACATAAGCTCACACTCCTGTTCACACATGCAGCCGAGCGTTAGAAGCATAGCGCTGACCTTGCGCTAAGCGCGTGCTGACGGGAGCGTTCATCCGCTTTGTATCACACCGTCAAAACTGTTGCTCATGGCTGACAATACGTAGCTGCCGACACCTGAGCAGCGTTACATCAGCGCTTCGCTGCATGTGAGAACCACGCCAAGCCAACCAAACACACAACGAAGCCTAACCGCCTCGTCTCGGCAGCGATGCACACATGGGCGTAGGCCCCGGAGGCCGCACCCGCACCAAGCCAACCACGCCCACACACGGACGGCACGCACGCCGCCCACACGTGTGTGACTCCTGGACAACATAACTATAAAGACATATTGATACTGTTTTTATGACGCATGATATTTGATATTAGTGTTAGAAAACAGTGGAAAATTAATAAATTGTCTAATATTTTGTAAGGTCACGTGACATATTAACTTTAAAACCACAATAAAATCTAACGTCTTTATTTTTATATCCTATATTTACTTATAAGAAAGCATAATATACATATAAAAAACAAATCGTGTTCTTATATTATAAGTCACGTGACCTTTTGCGTGGATGGAGCCTTATCTCCTGCCGACTTGGCTACGCCCCCGCGCGTGCTTCGTTCTACGCGCCGGTTCCTGTGACGCATTTTGTTGCATCTTGCATGCCCGAGAAGAAATCAACCACATTCTGCAAAAATTGTTTATTTGGTATAATAAATATTATAAATATAGCGCGAGTGACCTAAGGGTATATTGACTCGGCATAAATATTACAATCCAACTCCACCGGGAAGGGACCACCATTATACTGCCAAATGTGTCAACTAAAATACTATTCCCTGGGTTACAATAGGCAGTTATGTAAGAGTGTATTTGTTGCCACGTCAGTTAGCACAAAACTGCCCCTCGATTCCTGTACAAGATGTTAGAAGTTAAAATAAATAGGCTATGAATCAAAGTACATAATATCTTCAGCAGACTTTCACTTGCTGGCTTTGAGCTAGTGTACATTAGTGAGCAAAATAGAGAATCCTAGCACCACAAATACTATTTATACTTCTTGCTTAACTTGCACATACAAAATGTCACACATCTAAGAGAAAATTATAAAAGCGTTCAGGTCAGCTTTCTTTTAAATGCAAACTATAAATGTTCAGCACTCGGTGGTCAGGACAGCTTCATTGTAAGTAAAACTCGGTAGATTGTCATATGTCTACAAAAAATCCGCCAGGCACCTTTAGTAATAAATATGAAATAGGCACTAGTTCACCTCACTTATCGTCATGATAGCAGTTGTATCACTTCCTTGCACTGCACTTAAGCCCAAAGACAAACACAGGTAACCGTGAAAAAAAAAAAAATAACTGAAAGGGTTCAATCGCAGAACCAAATAACATATCCATAGAAATTTATGCATTGTATGTGTTCTTCGCACTAGCTGACTTATGAGCAGCAATCAGCTATACAAACGGCATAGATTGATAGACCACTGCAAGCCACAGCTCCCTAATTGAACAGACTAGAGAAAGAAGCAAGACCCAAGTAATATTTTGTCTCAAGAGTTCTCGGCAACATTTAGAAAAGCAAGTGCTACCCTTGTACTCGTGGTCATGCAGAGAAGGCACTCAATGAAGATGTGCTCGCATGCCTGTGCATTTGAAAGCACTGCAGATAATTTGTGAGATGACATTTAACACGACTGAATAATATGCTGAAACTTCTTCATGGTGCCAGCCAGCAACCATAGAACTCAAGAACCACAGTACTCTAAAGAGCACTAGGTATTCCAATGCTGAGAATCGCACCACTATGCTCTTGAAGAAATACTGTTTCAAAGCAAACTTCAAGCCAGGTCCTGCATAATGTTCCTATATTTTGACTATGCCTGCAGCTCCTAGTTTTGATTTTGCTGTTGTCCTCTGAATTTCATACTTCACAATGTATCTGAGAGCACCCACCGCTTGTGCACTCTAGGCAAGAGTTGGTTGAAGCAATCAAGTATGATTACCAGCTCAATTGTTTTTCTCCTTATTTTGTTGATTTCATACTCAGGGAGGGACCTTTTTGATGAAAAATCTCCAAGGCACTGAAAAAACAATATTACAATGAAGAGTTTCTAAGGTTTCCAAAACACCCTGGGATCCCAGCAGGATCATGAACAGTGAAACTCTGACTTTCCAAACCTCTTTCATGAGTACCAAGTGCACAAAATAATGGCAAATAAATGTCCACTTATAACCTCAAAGAAACTGATACAGTGATGTCACATTACTATGTGCATACCAATATACACAGATCAGTCAAAATATTATGACAACCTACATCTAACACCGTGCAGATTCACCTTCGGCAAGCAAAACGGTTGCAAGGGCTGTCTGCTGCGGAGTCCCACATCCAACAAAGGCCAATAATCGTGCTCAGAAACACTTGTACCGTGACCTGCATTCCATCTAGCTGTCAGGTGAGCCACAGGTAAATGCCTATTTTGCTTCATCAAGTAAGAAAGTCTTCAACGTCCACATTTTTTATGAGGCATGAACGTGCAACGCCTTGGTGTCTATAAACAGTTTCACCATCATTTTTTCACTTTTGATACATACCAATGACAGAAGCTCGTGAACACAAAACGAGCTTTGCAGTTTCCGAGATAATCGTTTTGAGCCGTAGGGTCATCGCAGTTTTCCCTTTGTCAAAGTCGCCTAAATCGGCAGCTTTTCCCAATAGATGCACACATAGTCGAGAAAATGATCCTTCTGTACCCCCGCAGCTCTTAACTCTACCATCCGCATTAGCAGGTGGTAGATAACACAGATTGCGCGTCAGCTAGGCAGGCTCATTCACACAGCGTAGGGGTGGTCATAAAGTTTTGGTTGATCAGTGTACAGACAAGATATTCGGGGACAAACTGGATAAATGCACACACTTTTGTCTCATTATTATGGACAACTCACATTATGTATGATATTTGGGGGGAAGAGAGGTGCCCATATTAATAATATCACTGTATGACTCACAGCTTGTTCTTGTAGCTTATAAGCACACAAATAGTGCAATAATCTGAAAATCACCTGACCCTAACTACAAGAGTGGTAACAAGGCAAGGTTCAGCCGATAATTTCCAAAAGCTCCTGTACAACCACTTCCTTCCTGGAGTAATGCTAAGTAAAACAAAGCTGCAGCATCAGTGAGCCTGTCGCGCCTCGCTGAGGCCCCTCTTCACGTAGCACTTGTCATGGAGAAGCTTCCTGTACAGCAAGATGTACCGCGCCACATTCTTGGTGTGAGGGACCAGGAAGTCTGAGCAGAACGTCAGCTTGTCCTTGAGCGATGGCTTGAGTTCGGGTATTTGGAGCATCCGCAGGAATGCAATTACGAAGGAGTAACAGTTGTGGGTTTTTTCATCATATCTGGAAATAAAAATGAAGAAATAGGAACCACAATGAGACTCAATTCTGAGAGAGCTGAACAGTTTAATATTGTTAAGTAACAACCACAATTAACTTGTGCCAAGTGTGTTCATCCCTGTATTTTATAATGAAGGCAAAAGAATTATAATTGTATAATATTATTGTAGCTGGTGACAGGATGAAAGTTCAGGGGAAGCTCCTCCCACCTCTATCCCCTTTAGCAAAGCGAAGGCTGGAGAGAAGGTGACCTCCTCTACAATGTCGTGCTCTGCTAAAGTGTAAAAAGGTGGAAGGAGCTTCCCCTGAACTCCTAACCTGTCACCAACTATAGTTAGGAAGTCGCTGAACTTCCATGGCATTATGGCTGGTCCATCAGCTCAGCATCTTGTCGCTTGAATCAAACAATTTTCAAAAATAATGTAGACTACTTCTCTTTGTTTTATCCCCCAACCCGCCCCGCCCCGCCCCGCCCCGCCCCGCCCCGCCCCGCCCCGCCCCGCCCCGCCCTGCCCCCTCCCTCCCTCCCAAGCATAATTTTACTCGAATATTTTTATCGCCATTCCACTTTAAAAAGTCATATTTGGTGGTTTTGTGCGCCAAAGCAACAACTGGCACGCCCCAGTGGAGGACTGAGGATTAATTTCGACCACCTGGGGATCGTTGGACATGCAAGTGAAATCTCGGTCACCCATGGTGCTTTCTCCACAATAAGCCTCCGTCAGATTGTGGGAATCTCTGCTGGGATTCAAACCTGCCTTACCAGGTCACTTAAAGTGCAAAATGCCGAAGGTAAAATGAATACCTATTTTTTTCATGTTGATTATAAAACATAGCCCAATTATTTCTGTCAGATGGCACCTCAGTCTAACAAAATAATGGATACAATTTTAAAGATCCAAAGTGCATCAATTAACTTTTGTTTCTATTGTTCATAGGAACAAATTAAAAAAAGCTACAAGAAAACAATTTAAAAAAAAGTCCAACATTGCAAGGAAACTTCGTTTGCCAGTGTTAACGGTGAATGCTAGTCTGTCAGAAAAAATGAAGGACAACCAACCACAGAGCTGCAGACTGCTATGTTGAAGTGTTTGAAGAATATGAAGCATTAACTGCAACTAAAACGCTTTTGGTGAGAAGGTCATGGAAGCTACAGGACTAGGAGCATCAATAAGTGAATTATTTGCACAGGAACAGGTGCATACATGGCTCTGTGCCAGGCAAAGCAGAAAGGTAAAAACCCTTACGCAAATGTGCCTACTAGCCTGCCGCCATGTACGTTAAGTTAAAACAAGATGGAACAACTGGCATGATGATGGTGGGGATTAATGGCAGAGAAAGTGAATCAAGGCAAGCCTAAAGACCTCACAAAGATTTGGCAAAGTTTCTGAGACTCCTCTCGTGATGCTGGTAGGGGACTACAAGCAGTCAGGGGGGTGGAGAAGTCCCTAGCAGCAGTTGGCAGCAGGGAGTTACTGGGGCAAACTGTACCGGACAGGCGGGATCCGGAAGTTGATCCATCGAGCAGACGGCACAGCACTTGAACCCCCCCAGCAGTCCTTCGCTTCTGCTCAAGAGTGCACCAGCCAAGAGCATGTAGTCATCCAGGGCATGGCCCAGCTGGTTTTCCTAAGGTCCAGCCACATACAGTATGCGATGCATGGCGCTGCACACTCTCCTGTCACTCGATAAGGTGTTGTTGAGAAGGAGACCAGACTGTGAAGCAGCACCCCAACAAAGGCAGGACTAAGGCAGCGCAAAGTGCCTGCAGCACCGCCGGGTAAAGTGGCCTTGCTACATGAGAGCTTAAGCAAAATGTCCTCTGTGCCTTTGAGATAACATCGGCAGTGTGCGCTGAAAAGTCTGGATTTTCAAAAAATGAGGCACCCAAGATGGACAGGTGGACTCGGGATGACAGCAGAGAGCCATCTATGGCAGCCGAGCGGTGGGGACGTGGAATAGATAGCTCTGCGGAGCAGCGATAGCATGATGCGGAGGGACGCATGTGGCAGCTGCTCTAGTTGCATCTGCGATAAGCAGAATTTTCTAGCTTGTGTGGGTGAATGCAACCGTCGCCATCATTGCAATCACATCAAAGTTGATCCCAGAGAATACGAGGTGTTTATGCAATTGGAAAAAGTGCTTACAAATGCAGCGCTTGCACTCATTGACATTGCTCAGGCTTGAAGGATGCGCGAGACTTGGATGCCCCTTCCAATGGCTGTGGGACGAGAACGATTCTGATACCGGGACCGGCCCCACCAGTGAAGACTGCGTCCAGCAAGCTGTCAACCGTTTTATGAACACCATCGCCAACAAAATGGAAGTGCTGACAGCCGGGGTGAGGTGCATTAGAGAGGAAAACAATGTCCTTCGTTCGGAGCTCGTTTACCACAAGCATAAACTTCTGCAGCAGCTACCTACATCAGTTCCGGTACCTGTCACTGCGTTGCTACAGAAAAAGGCCTGGGGCTCCTCTATCCCGACAAAACGTAACATGCCTGTGATACCAACACGTCCATCGAGTTCCTCCTTTGTTGCGTCTCAACGCATACTGTCGTCGGTAATCGCCCAAGACAGCAAGAACATCGCAAGACAGCAAGAACATCAGATCATCACCCAGGTCAATGCCAAGGTGAACGCTTTAATCCTTCTGAGGAGAATGATGACTTCATACTCGTGAACAGACGGCATAAAACCAAGCCATCTGTTGGAACTGGAAAGGCTTCAACGGTGGGTGTTGTTTCCCGGCCGCCAGTTCGAAAAGCGCTCTTTCTGTAGCTCCAGACACAAAAACTTTTGATGTTTGTTTGCTAATTGAACCTCTACTGCAGGGTGAGTCCTTCTCCTGTTCTAGACTGAAAACAAGGTATGCGACATACTCTTCTCTTCATGTAGAAGTTGAACAGGGCTCTTTTGAGATCATTAACAACCCCGAAGTGTGGACTGATGGTTGCATTTTCTGCCCGTTTTTTTTAAAGTTGGACGTCAGTCGTACACATATAGATGAAAATGAGCCTACTCAGATGAACAATAAGGACAATTAGTGCCTATTAGCAAAATGCTCGTGGTCTGCGAACAAGGCAAACACCTTTTTGCCAAATGTAGTGTCTTCCAATATTGATGTTATTTGTCTGACTAAAACCGGGCTTAATAAATAAATGTCAAATGCGAGCTATTTTCCCTCATTCTATAACATTATCATTGTGATAGAGACTAGGCTGTGACTGGGCAAAAATTTGGGGGAGGTGTTTTAATTGCCGTCGATAATTCAATTGCCTCACATCTAAGACGTGACCTAGAATCATATTCAGAATGCGTTTGGGTAGAAACACTCGCGAATGATGGGCCTAACTACCTAATCGGAAATTTTTATTTCCCTCTATTGGATAGCCATATTTTTATTGAACATTTCAAAATGCTGGAAAATGAGATCGATTTTTCAAAGTTTCGTTTCCCTATTTATGGTAATTTTATCTTACCAGGTGTTGATTGGTCGGCAGGAGTTATCAATATTAGCAAAAATAGTCAAACAATAAGCAAATTGGCTCACCTCTTGAATTTCATACATTTTAATGGACTATACCAATTGAAGAACTAAGGTAATAGTGCTGGAAACGTTCCAGACCTCTTACTTTCAAATGCTCCCATTCACGGCATAACGTTGGCCGAAATTCCCCTTGTAAAGGCTTACGTCCATCTCCCGCCTTTTACTGTCACTTTTTATGGTTCTTTAAGAGCAGAAGCTAGTGAAAGCTGCATGTACTACACTTTCAAAGAAGGCGACTATTTTTGGCCTTTATAAGTATTTTGAAGATAATAAATGGTTGCCCATCTTAGAGGATGTTTCAGCTGATTCAGCAGAGATATCATTCACAGCAGCAGTAAAAAATGGAATGAATCAGTTTATTCCTCAGTGATCATCCAAGCCCAAAAAGTACCCTGCAAATTATTCAAAATATCTGATACACTATATCACAAAAAAGCCCACTGTCATAAAATGTTCACGAAAAATGGAGCAAAAACCTAGTACGCTAGGTTTAGCATGTATCGCTCTCCTGTGAAAAGGTTCTTTATTCATGACAAGAGTGTTTATCTGAGAACAGTAGAAGATAGTTTGTTACGCAATCCAGATAAACTTTGGAAATTCACCAAAGAGCACACGAGATGCAGTGGACAAGGTATCAGCTTAAAGAGGATTCAGGACATCTGTCTGACACTAAAGGCATTGCTAACAAATTCGCAAGTCACTTTAATGGTTGCTTTTCTTCAAATGTTCCTGCAGACAGTGCATTATTGAATGATCACCATTACTCTCTGTTCGCAAACTAACGGAGGCCATAAAAAAACTGAAACCGAAATTATCAACTGGAATAGATACGATTCCCAATTTTATTGTTAAGGGCTGTTCGAGTGTGTTAGCAGCTGTCTTAGAACATATATTAAATATTTCCTTGTGTAAGGGATTTTTCCATCTGTTTGGAAGGAGTTGGTTGTTGTTCCAGTACACAAGGCTGGGAATACTTCTGCCGCATACAATTATCACCCTGTGTCCCAGCTATATGCTTTTGCAAAGGTATTTGAGATTTTAAAGCACACACATGTCTTTTTATTTCAATCAATGCATTACTGACTTTCAGCATGGTTCATAAAGAACGCTCAACTAAGACGAATCTATGTACTTTTCTCGATTATTCAGTGCCCTATGTTCATGGTCGTGGTCAGGTTGAGGTTATTTATTTTGATCTCTAAGGCATTTGACAAAGTTAATCATGCCTTGCTCTTGCATACCTATCGCAGAACGGATTTTCTCCTGTGCTCGTAAATTGGTTCAAAAGCTATCTGACTGACCTTCGCTGAGTCGTCCGTGTATTAAGCAGTTTTTGATGATCCTTTTTTTCCCCCGTCTAGAGTACCTCAGGGCTTCAATTTAGGGCCACTTTTGTTTCTGATTTTTATCAATGACATTAAAACTTGCGTAGCTAATTCAAATGCGTTGCTAT